GGCCTCCTGCCAAGCCACACCTGCCCAGTGCTCCTGAGCTCAGATCTGCCTCAGCTTGTTCTTGCCATCCAAGGGCTTGGGGAAGCACTGTTCTCGGCAGCATGTGAGTGGAGGGTCTTTATCCTTGAGGGTTTTGGGGGACACAGGCAGAAGTTGCAAGTGGGGGAGGGTCAGAAACTTGGCCCAGGCTGCTACGTATTAGTACCTGCAGGCAGGCTGGCTCAGTGCCAGGGAGGGGTCCAGGTGAGTCAAACTGCCATCACCTGGGGCTGGGCACAGATGCCCTTTCAAACAGAGCAGGGGCCAACATTATGGTTTTTGGTTCCAGTTGTCCCTGGACTGAGCTGGGGGTCACTCGCCGGTGGCGGTGGCGGCTGAGCTGGGGTTGCTTCTGCATGCTTCCAAAGAACCCCGTGGCTGAAGGGACTAGGAGCGGGTTCTCCCCTCATCTCAGGGGGAGGGGAGAGACTTCTAAGAGGCAGGTAAGGAATTGCTGAGTCCCATATGTGCTAATAAGACAGGATCCTGATGTCTCTGGGGGAGGGGGCTGCTCTCCACTCCGCACTCTGGGGAAACCGGAGAAATGACATGCCCTTGAAGGCTTTGTGCGAGGACACTGGGAAGGAACCCCTGCTGGTCTTGGTGGGGAGGAGGATGTTGGTAGCACAGGGAGAGGGAGGGTCAGGTGAGAAAGGGGGTTGAGGCAGGATGAGAGACAACCTCCCCAAAGCTGGTTTGGCAATGGAGCTAAGAAACCAAAGTTGTAGATGGTCCAAGTGGGGCAGGGGGTGGGGGCTGTGGCTGGAGATGGTGCAGGGCGGGGTACCACACCCACCCAGGACATCCTGAGAGCCTGGCCCCCATCCTGCAGTTCTAGGGAGGGAGAGGCAGCTGAGTCTGGCCAGGGCGGGGAGGTAGGGGGCTCAGTGGGAGGAAGTGGGCTGGGAGGTGACAGCTGCCCACTTGTCCTAGGTCCCCCCTCCCATGCGGCTCCCATGTGGCTCCATTCACAGGGTCATTCACTAATCCCTTGCTGAATGGGAAGGGTGAGCCACCCTCTCCCTAGCTCAAGTGCTTGAGCCCAGAAGGTGGGGCTAATTCTGGGTTGCTGGGTGAGCGCAGCAAGCCTCTTGCCCTTTCTGAGCCTCCTCTGACCTTCTCAGGAAAACAACACCTACCCCTTGGGGGTGCTAGGAGGGTTAAAAACGAGGGAGTAGATAAGAAGGACCCAGAGGCAACAATGTCAGCTTCTAGGCACATGACAGTTGCTCCATCGGTGTCGGCTTCTTGGGGTGGGCCTGGGCAGATGGCTCCCTCCATTTTCCCCCATCGCGTGTCCCCAGACTGAGAGTCAGCTGGACCTCAACAGGACCAACGTGGAGTTGGGATCCAGAAGGAGCCAACCCTCTCCCCACCAGGGAAGGGAGCTTTTAGTCTCCGTCCTTACTCTTGGCTCCCAGCCCCTTTTAGCTCTGAAAGGCTCTGCCCCCAACAGGCCTGCAGGCCCCTTGGAGCAGGAGATAGAGAGGGACTTTCCTCTGTCTCACAGGGACTCAGTTTGGCTTTCTGGGAAGACAGAGAAATAGTACATTCCTCCAGAAATAATCGTCCTCAAGCTATTTCCAGCAGCTCTTTAGTGCCCAGGCCAGAAATGGCTAGTGATCTCGATGCCTGGGTACTGTCAGGACAAACAGCCCAGAAGCCCAGCCCTCTCGCTGGCTGCCCGCCTGCCCGACCAGTCCCCAGCCCTGAGCTGAACCAGGCCCAGCTCAGGCCCCGTCTGTGAACTGTGGACACCGTCTCCCTGTTCTTCTCCCAAGTTGCTCTTCCTCCGATTGGGGAAGCCCTTCAGATCCCTCCCGCTGTTCTCTCTTTGGCCACCATAACTCAGCCAGCCCAGGGCTAAAGGCCTTTCCCTTTAGTGACTCTGCGCTGATGCCATCCTGCCCGGAGCGGGGAGATCCTATACTAAGTGCTTTGTAATCCTGAATCTGGTCATTAAGAAAGATCATGGGCTGGGGCTGGGGCTCAGCGGTAGAGCGCTCGCCTAGCACGTGTGAGGCCCTGGGTTCGATCCCCAGCACCACATAAAAATAAAGAAAATAAAGGTATTGTGTCCAACTACAACTAAAAAAGAAAGAAAGAAAGAAATATGAGATAGGCCATGTGCAGTGGCACACACCTGTAATCCCAGCGGCTCAGGAGGCAGAGGCAGGAGGATGGTGAGTTCAAAGCCAGCCTCAGCAATTTCATGAGGTGCTAAGCAACTCAGTGAGAACCTGTCTCTAAATAAAATACATACATACACACACACACACACAAAACAAAACAACAACTGTATTTCTATTTTTTCTTTCTTTCCCTTCCTGCCCTCCTTCCTTTCTTTCTCCCCCCCTCTCTCCCTCCCTCTTTCTCTCTCTCTCTCTTTCCTGCAGTGCTGGGGATCAAACCCAGGATCTGATGCACACAAAACAACTACCCTACCACTGAGCTATGATCCCAAAACTGTATTTTCAAAATTCAGGGGAAGAATATGAGAGAAGCTTTTTCTGGCAAACACACTGAGACATCAACAGAGAATCTAGTTCCTTCATTCAACACAAATGTCCGGGGTGAACAAGGGATGCTGGTTTCTGAAAGGATTTGCTCTCTGAGGAGTCTTCAGGCCGGGTGTGATGGTGCACCTCTATAATCCCAGTGGCTCAGGAGGCAGAGGCAGGAGGATCATGAGTTCAAATCCAGCCTCAGCCATTAATGAGGCCCCCAAGCAACCTAGTGAGACCCTGTCTCAAAATAAAAAGGCTGAGGATGTAGCTCAGTGGTTAAGTGCCCCTGGTTCAATACATAGTATCCCCCCAAAAAAAAACCCAAAACCCCCAAAACCCCCAGGGTCCTCGGGCTTTCACTGGAACCTGTCACAAAGTAGGTGTTCAGCATGGGACTGTTGGCCACGTGGGGAGAGGTGAGAAGGGAGAAAGGAAGTTGCATTCATGCCCTTAAATGGGTCACCTAAAGGGACAGCACTTGAGGGACCCTGGGTAACTGTTGGCAGACCCAATGAGAAAAGAAGTCGGTGCTGACCGCAGCAAGCCCGAGTTATATTTGAACCAGCAGAAAACCTCCTGCCTCTCAGCACAATTAAGACGAGAAAAACAACAAGGAACCCTGGAAAACAGCCACCCCAGCCTCGTTTCAAAAATAGGACCCATCTGTCCTGGCAGGCTTAAAGTGGCTCCTGGCCCGTGGGCAGGGGCCTGGCCAGGATGACCCCTGGAGGCCCCTCCCAGCGCTAGGATTCCATGATTCTATGACATGGCCAGCAGTCTGGAGTGGCAGCATGAGGGTATCCCCAGTGGAGAGCCAGAGGAGGTCTATGTCATCTACCTCCTAAGAGACAGAGTGAGAGGGGAGCGGGCCCTTGTCACAGATGGGCCCCGGCCAGCCGGGGGAAGGGCCAGTCCTGTGGGAGTCAACCCTCAATCCTCTCCATTTTTTTTTTTTTTTTTTTAAGGAGCAGATGGGGTGGGGCTGGGCCGGGCAGGGAGGAGGCCTGAGTCTGGACATTCCACTCAGTACAGACTCGAAGGACAAGAGCAGCTGAGGCCGGGACCTGGGCAGGCAGCTGCTTTCTGAATGGGGTGGGCTCCGAGACAGCTGTGCTGGCGCTAGGCGCATGGACGCTCAGCATGAGCGGGCAGTCATGGGCAAGAGGGGCTGGAGCTCTCCTTCTGTCTGGGGTGTGGGTGGCGGTTAGTATTGAGGAGCCAAGGGACAATGGGGACAACAGGTACTACACTGCCCTTGTTAGGCGCAGGCCGAGCCCAGGGACAGGAGGTGGGTGAAGTGGACTGGGCATCTCTTTGGCCTGGCCAGGTCTTACCCTCCATGAATGGCCTATTTTGGGGCCAAGAGGAGTAGGAACCCCAAAGCCCCTTCCTCTGGTAGGTCAAGTGAGGAAATCCTATATGGTCCGAGAGCGACAAGACCAAACAAATTGGCAGGTTCTGATCTCGCAAGCCCAGCCCCATGAGCAAACCTGCTCCACTGGACCCTCAACCCCACTTGAGTTTCCTGTAGTCAGGACAAACTTGGTTCCAGGATTAGCTAGTACCCTTCTCCCCCCCTCCCCCAGGGTCTCCCTGCCAGGGCTCCTGCGCAGGCCCGCAGAGTTGGTGTGGAGAAAACTCACGCTTAACAGATCGTCAGGGAGACCAAGGTCACCCTGGCAACATACCATTGTCTGTCGGGAGGCCATCAGACATCCTCTTGATGCTACCCTGGCCTTTACAAGCTGTGTGATCGCAGGCTAGTCACATTACCTCTCTGAGCTTCAGTTTCTCCCATCTGTCAACTGGAACTAGAACACTGATATGTAGTGGGAATTAAATGAGTTGATCCGCATAGGGCACAGGGTGAAGGGCCGGGTACACAGAGAATCTCTGTGAGTGTAGAACCGCATCAAGGCTGAGACAGTTTTTTTTTCAGTATTAGGAGGCATTGCATGGTCGATGGTAAGCTATTTGATAACACCTAAGGCCTGTCTCTGCTTGCAATTTCACTCCTTAGAGATTCTGTCCTTGGCCTTTGTGGTATCCTAGAGTTCCTGCTTCAAAGGTGGATGGAAATTTCAGAACGGGATCGAGAGCTAGAGAAAAGAGAAGATCCTGCCTCTGCTTTTCCTAGGAGGCCCTCTGGTCTCAGTCTTTCTGAGGATCTTGCCTTCCTCCCTCTCTCTCTCGCCCTTCTCTTGTACTTTCTGAGGAAAGGGGTATTGGTCTTCCAGTTTGAAGAAATCCCTGAGCCTGTGGGGAGGAGAGGGAGAGGGATCAGGGCAGTGCTGGACGTCTGGGGACAGAGAGAACCCCTAGAGAGAGAGTCTGGAGGGAGGTGGGAGGGAATCCAGGTGAGCCGACCCAACTCTCTCCTCTCCAGGTCCAGGTAAGCAACCTCCAGGTGCGGCCACAGCTCAGTCACAAATTTGATCCCCCCCAGCCAAAGTGATGTCTGGCCGCCCAGAGAGCAGATCCAACTCTTGCAGTAGCCGTTCAAATAATCCCAACAACCCGTCCTTACCGGCTCGAACTCCAGGCTGGACCCAAGGCTCTGGCTCCAACGACGCCAACGACGTCAAGGGCTCCCGCGTCTGCAACCCTAGTGGCTCAGACTTCAGCTCCTGCAGCAGCCACTCAGAGCCTTCGTTGGGTGTCAACTCCCCCAAACTCCTCAAGGGCAGAGTGTGCATGGGCCGGCCCTACAACTCCAAGTGCGTGGAGTCAAGTCAATTGGAAAAAGGCTCCAAGGTGGCCAGGAAGACCTCTTATCAGCCCTCTGAGGGCAGCCCCAACTGCTTGCTCTGCTCAGAACGGCCTTTGGGCCCCACCGGCTCCAGCCTCTTGGACCAGCTCATCAAAGGCATCAACTACCTGGACCGATCTACCAACGCCTTCTACAGCAACTGCCCCAAAACGCTGAGCCTGCCGCGGCTTGCTGCCAGCTACCTGGAACGAGCTGCCAACTCCCTCTACCTGGACCACATGGAACGCACTTCATCCCCAAGTTACTCCGCCCCCAGCGGCAGCCTGCACGCCAGGGACGGCTCCAAACACAGCACCTGCACGGTGTCATCCACTAGGGGCGCCAACGAGCTGCAGTGTCTGGCCCGCTCCACCAACCAGAGCTGTCCCCACCAGCATCATGGCCACAACTTGACTTCCATGCGGCAGAGGCCAGGCATCAAGCTGCCTGAGCTCCCCTTGTTTGGCAATGGGCTTTTCTCCTTAGATCGTCTGCCCAAGTTCTGGGAAGCCATCCGCTCTGGCTGGAGTGCCCCTGAGCCCGTCTCCAAACCCTCCAACTGGTGGTAAGGTTGACATCAGCCAGCGACGGGCACACTTCCGTCACGCTGCAGTTGTGGAAAATAAATTGTCTGTGGCAAAATGCTCCTTCCAAGGCTCTGTTGGGGGAAATGACCATTTAGACTGGGGCTATGAATTCAAGGGTGGGTCTCTTGGCACAGTCAAGTAAAAATGAGTGAATTGGGCCGGCAGTGGCAGGGAGTGGCAGAGACTATGGCTGAGTGGGCAAGGACCGCTTGGTCTATTCCTGGCTCTGAAGTGGGCCGTTGCCTTCACAAAAGAAGCTGGAATGTGATTTTCATTCTTATTTATTTTTTGACACAGAGTCTTGCTGGGTTGCTTAGACTGACCTCCAACTCCAGGGCTGAAGGGATTCTCCTTTCTTGGCCTCCCAAGTAGCTGGGATCACAGGTGTGCACCCCACACCTGGCTCTGGGATCTGATTTTATGTTAGCCACAAATTTTAAAATGGTAGGATACTCTGTGGGCTCAACAAACATGTTCGCAGGCAGAGTGAGAAGCCCACAGGTCTCAGGAGTCTCAGCCCTTATATCTTGAATGGGTCCCTGACTCTCTTGGAGATGCTCACATCCAAAATGGTCCAATTTCCCCCAGTTAGAGGGTAAGACCCTCACTTGGGGCACTGCTCGGGAGGTTGCCAGCACCTAGCTCCTTTCTGGCTTTCAATTGGGGTCATTTCTTAACGTTGGCTGAGGGCCTTGAGTCCAGTAGGAGCCCAGGAATGCCAATTGCTGTCATCCTGAGGATGATGACAGTACTTCACTCAATGAATGCTTCATAGCTAATAATTTAATGGCACCCTATTTATTATGCTCTTTATGTGTGCGAGGCATTGTTTTAAGGGCTTTGTATGTAAGGGAGATTCTGAAGCCTCCCTTAGCCTCAGTTTCCCCATGAGAGGAAACGGGCCAGCTAGCTGTTCATTACCAATTCCTATTCATTCTCTTCTCTTTTCAGGCTGGCTGCTTTTTAGCACTGTCCCACGTGAGCAGAAATGTAGACAGTGATTACAAAAAGAACGATAAACACTCATAGAGCCCTTGTTATGTGGCAGGAACTGTTCTAAGCACTTTATGCACATTTAGTGTCTTCAAGATGTGATTTTTGGTGACTGGGACCAAGGGTAGACCCAGAGAAGAACTTTCTGATCGTTTGTGTGGGAGAGGCGCTGAAGAGGAGCCTGGGGTGGCCATGGGTGGGAGGATAGGCCTTGCTGGGAACTCTCTGGAGAGAGCGGTTCTGTCTGAGGCTGGAGGGTCAGGAGAAGGTGGTCCCCTTTTCTCACTTTTGCGGGTTTCTTGCTGTCTTCCCTGGGCCACTGAGAATTCAGAGACCTGAGTAATTCAGGAGTTGGGAAACCAGGCCCACAAGGTCCCCAGCTGCCCAGTCCTGCTAACTGAGGGACTCAGGAGACAAGGATTCCAGCCCAGCTCTCTGCTGCTCTGCCCCGAGACCCTGACCACCTGGCTCCCTCTCCACGCCCTTTCCCCTCTGAGCCTGGATGGAGTAGCTTTGAGGCTCCCAGAGCGCCCTCTGGACTCTGATGTTTCTGAGGCCAGGCCTGGAGACTCCCAAGCTGAGATGGAGAGTGTCCACACAAGAACCCGGGCTCCCAAGCCGCCTTCCAGTGTGCCCCTGTCTGTTTCAGGCCTTGGAGTCCGTTTCTGAGTGGTCTAACTTCAGACCCAGGCCCTGCTGCAGGGGCCCTTCTGTCTCCTTGGCAACAGGAAGGCCAACGGCAGCTCAGTGTGGAAGGGCCCTGAGATAATGCAGACCCTGGAGGCCCACAAGGTTCTTTGGTGCTTGAAGGCAGTGGCCTGCCGTGGCCCAGCCCCTATGGCCAAGCAGAGAAGGGGACAGACCTGAGTATCTCCCCGGGGCAGGAGGAAGGAAGAGGGCAGCGGACCCCGGTCCACTGAATCCCCTCCACTTCTATGCCATCTCTGGAGGGCAAGGGAGATCCTTCCGTGGGCCAAAGCTCAGCACTGAGCAAACCCCTCCTCTGTCTCCTGCTTTACCTTTTCTCCCCAGGAAAAGACTGCGGCTTAGTCTGATGGAACCCCAGTAGTCTCAACTCCCAAGGCGAACATTCATATGGATTGTTAGAATCCACTTTGAACTGACCATGGTGGCACACACCTGTGAGCCCAGCAACTTGGGAGAATGAGGCATGAGGATCTCGAGCTCAAGGCTGGCTTGGGCAGCTTCATGAGATCCTGCCTCAGCCATAAGAAGAACTGGAGATGAGCCCGGTGGCAGAGGGCTCTTGGGCTCAATAACCAATACACCCTCTGCATCCCCCCCACCCCCCCAAAAAATCCATATGGTCTAACTTTGAGATAGTTCAGGACACTAAAGCGTCCTGATTCTCAAACCCTTTGGCTGCTTGAAACATCCCCTTCCTGCTCCAGGTCTGTTTGTTTGGCTTCCAGGCATGAGGCCAACTCTCGGTGACTCTCCCACCAAGACACTTATTTCCAAAATGGTCCCATTTCCCCTAGTTTTAGAGTGTAGGACTCCCTAATTGGACACTGCTCTTGAGGTGACCAGCATCTAGTTCCCTTCTGGCTTTTGATAGAGGTCACTTATTATATCAACACTGGCTCAGGGCCTTGTGTCCAATAGGTGCCCAGTAATGCTAACTGCTGTTATCCTGAGGATGACTATAGGTCAAAACGCTCCATAGCTAATAATGTCAACGATGCCCCACTTACGAAGCTCTTAACTGTGTGCCAGGCATTGTTTCAAGTGCTTTGTGTCTATTCACTCATTTAATCCTCCTAACTATTGTCCTTATTTTACAGATGAGGGAGCGGGCACAGAGAGGTCAGGTATACCTGATTATGAGAAAGTCCACAGAACATGGTGGCTTTAAGCAATATGGTTGGATCGGGTGTGGTCCCCCCCATCCCAGCGGCTTGGGAGGCTGAGATAGGAGGATAGCAAGTTGGAGACCAGCCTCAGCAACTTAGTGAGGCCCTAAGCAACTCCGTGAGACCTTGCTTCTAAATGAAATATAAAAAGGGGGTAGGGATGTGGTTCCATAGTTAAGCACCCTAGGTTCAATTCTGGGGACAAAATAATTCATTTTAAAAAATGATAAATATGGTCGGCATTGTCATTATAGAGGACTGCATGCAGACTGGGTACTCAACAATGATCGATCATAAGATCACAAGAAACTATTTCTTTTTTTAATGCTTTTATTGGTGCATTACAGTTACACATAATAGCAGGGTTCATTTGGACATCATCAGACATCATGCGTGGAATATCTTGTTTCATTTCAGTCTAAGGATTTCCTTTTTCCCTCCCCTCTTCCCTCTGACTGTTCCCCTTTCTCTTCTCTACTGGTCTTCTTTCTATTTATTCCTTTATTTTTTTTTAAGTGGGTGCTTTGTAGGTATAATACATAAAGGCGGGATATACTGGGGCATATTCATATTCGCACATAGCGTGATTTTCTCCATTTCAGTCCGCAGTTCTGCCCTTTCCTGTCCCTCCTCCCTCCCAGATCATGACATCTGGAAACTCGTGGGTGCTCCACAGGGGCACAGGTGAGAGCTCAACCGATAGCAGAGGTCAGTCTAGGACCTGCTGCTCAGTAGATGCTCCCATGGGATTCACCCATTGATTGGGCATTGGATCATGCCCAGTAGGGACCACACAGTCGCTGCCCTTGCCCCAAGCTGCTATGGGGGATGGGTACTCACCGTTCATTCTCAAATCCTTACTGTCCAGAGAAGATAAGCCTGGGAGCTAAAGAAGTGCTGCTGCTCCGTGGCCAGGCAGAGGCCCCCAGGTCCTCACTCACCACACAGGGGCTGTGTAAACAGGATGCAGCACGCTGGCTAGGAACAATGGGGCAGCCTGCTCTGTGGGGTCCCTTGTGTATAGAGGTGGCCTAGGTGTCCTATGAGCAGAGGTGGCAGGAAAGTCCTTTGGCGTCTGCAGAGGCACACCATGGCACTCACCCTGTGCCCTGCTTAAACATAGGCTCCCAACCCCTCCACCCTCCCAGGCTGTCTCCCTAGCCCATTTTGCTCTGGGGAGAGGGTATCTGGCCCAAACCCCTGCCGTCGGCAAGTGGCAGCGCTGGGATCCAAGCCAAGGCCTGACCCTCAGTCAACGCCCTTTCCATCTGAAGTGAGGTTTCTTAATATTTATTGAATGAATTTCAAGAGAAAGGGGTAAATCTTGGCCTCCAAAATAATCAGTAAATTAGACAAAGCAAGGGTGGTGTTTCACTCTGGGGTTTGGATCCTTCCTCAGTACCAGTGCTCTCAGCAGGCAGGTAAACCCCAAACAGCACTTAAAGGTCACCGGGGTCTCTATTGCCTGATCCATTGGCCCAACTGCCCAACTGCCCAATCATTTCGTATCACTTGGCACGGTGCCATGATACTGAAATTTCTTTTGTATTAAAAAGAAAGAAAACATCACACCCACATGTGGCCCTTTCTACAGGATAACTTGATATCACTGTTTCACAATTCTAGAAAAACGAAGGTAGCTTTTTTTTGTGGCAGTGGAGACAGAACCCAGGGCCACCAACGCTACATCCCCAGATTCTTTTATTTATTTATTTATTTTTATTTTGAGACTGGGTCTCAATGGATTGCTGAGGCTAAGCCTCAAAGTTATGATCCTCCTGCCTCAGCCTCCTGAGTAGCTGGGATTACAGGTGAGCATCATCACCACACCCATCCAGCTTTTTGAACCACCCCAGGTTCAGGTTCATCCCCAACCTTCCCTCTGAGCCTCAGCCCACCCCATCCCTCACCCATCTCATCCCTGACGGTCTGCACGTCGCTGGTCCTGCTTATTCTACAGAGGAAGCAGAGACCTAGGAGTGGGCAGCCCCCCAAGCTGCGTGCACACTGCCTTCTTTAGTTGAAATCTGCACAGAAGCAGAAAAGCCTCAGTGTGTGCTGGGCTGAGTGGGTCCCACCATTTTTGGCAATCTCCTCCACTGGCTCCTAGGCCCC